TTTAAGGTAGTTGTATGTGGTACGATGATAGGGGGATTCTGATGAAGTAGAAGAATTTGATAATAGTTTTAGAGAGATCAAACCGTGATCAGAAGTACCTAAGGGTGAATGTGGAGAAATTGAGCACTGACTAGGATCCAAAACAAGACATAAGTCGAGTAGAGAAGGTAAATGATTAGGGTTGTCTGGAAAACGAGTTGGAAAGTTGACTATTTGAGTTAGAGATTGAGAAAGGCAAAAGTTGAGGGCCTTAACGCCAGCAGAGTCACTGACACTAGAGCCAAGCCAATCGGTGTGATGGGCATTAAAGTCACCAACAACGACGATATTGGCCGATGGATAAAGAGAGAGGGCTTGGTCAATTTGATCAGAAATAACATCAAGAATAGTGCAATCTTGGGATGAAGGAGAGCGATATAGAACAAAGAGAAAGGCGATAGAGTGAAGTTGTGCTAAACGAAAGCACATAAATGAATAGTTTGTAGATTCAAACCTAGTTTCACGACAAATGGGTGAGTTCTTACGAATGTAGATGCCCAGGCCAAGCATGTGATTATTGGAGTCTTTACGAATTAAAGGAAGATAACCATCAACACTAAGATCACAAGATGGGACAGCCGAACTTAAATTAGTCTCACAAAGAGCAAGTAGGTCTGGTGAACTTTGCAAGAGATAAGACTCAACAGAAGAAAAGTTACTTCGAAGACCACGAATATTAGTAAATGATAGGTTTAGAGAACTTGGTGATGACAATGGTTTTTTGTGTTTTTTAGTTTTAGGTACTTTAGTCATTTTAAATTTATAAAGAACTTGACTCAAGTATAGATAGTACTCAGTACACTATTTAACAACTAATCAATAGCCTCATTACTCTTAATAAACCCTAAGCCGTAACAAAGGGCTCCAAATGTGGCCTCTGCAATGCACACCAAAAGTACAAACAGGGACACCATCCATGCGCAACATGGCACTGTTAGTACTCTGATATTTTTCGGCTGTTGATGGAATCAGCCTCTCTGAGAGCTACCACAGAGTTCGGGAAACCTGACTACCAGCCGGCCTCAGAACCATAAAACTGAGTTTTAGAGCTGTACCCTCATTAGGAGATAATAGAATGAGTTGCCCAGTCATAAAAATAGAGACACAAGCAATACCCACGCATTGAGTCAAGAAGATCCAGCATTCAACATCCTAAACTGGAAACAATGTATTAAGAATACATCTGCGCCAGCCTAATAGATGAGGAAGGGGTGCGAGGCTGGTCAACAGATAGAATCTGTTTACCCCTTAAGTCTTTGCCTAGGAGGCCTTCTACAAGACAGCAGCTGGATGCATGTAACATCTGCCCAAGATGAGTATTTTTATCGAGACACCATCTCTAGCCTTTACTCAACCAAGAGCCCCAAGGCAGGGGGTGTTAATTGCCACTAATCTGAAAACATAAGGCATGTCATCTCAAAAACTAGGCGCGCTACAAAAAAACTGAGCACAGATTTGAAATCTGCACAAAAAACTGTATCTGGGCCACCCAAAATCGAGTCTGATAAAAAATTGTTGTTGACCAGTGTAATTAGTTAATATACGCTGATTGTTCTATAATATAAAAAAAATATAATATAGCCCTAACCCTAGCTGTAATATGTGTTTGAAAATCCAAGCTTAGTTTGCTGTGTCGTTGTGAAACCACGTTTAATTTTGTGTTGATTTCATATTCATCTTTAATGTTACAGACGGTATTTTATTTTATTTTTGGCATTGTCCTATCAATGTATGCAGCACTGAAGTGGAGTGAAAAAGAAAGAATATGAGAAAGATCCCACACATTCCCAGAACACATTGTAGTACCAGGGAAAGGGGGGAAGCTGAATGATTTAGAAATATTTTGATAAATCCCTAATTTAATTAAAACACTATATCAAATTTATTTCTTGTTAACACCCTGATATATATATATATATAT